TGAATGTCAAGTTAAGTATTTCTGTTATCTTCAAGACTTGATGCATGAATAGCATGAGATACTGACCCCTCCAACTAGGACTGGTTTGAGAAGTATGACATCATCCTGTAAAAATGTGAATGTGCCAAATGCATGCATAACTCTTTCAAGAAGCCCGTGCCTACAATAACTTTTATCTTTCAAGTAAATACATAAATATCTAATGATCCATTACTTTAGTCAGGGGTAAGCACATGTAAGTGGCAGATATCCTGACAGAAGAGGCTCTAATTTAATTTAGCAAAGTTCCAAGCATTGCAGTATATAAGTTTAGTTCTCACCACAACCAAAAACAGGAACAAAAGCCTAGAAGACAATCAGGATAGGTACATTTTCAGAAAGCAAGAACAATGTATGGGTGGTTGTTTTTCTGGCTGGTGTTCCCTTCCCCTCCTACTAAGAGAAAACGGGCAACAAGGTAAGATATTTCCCGTTCTGCTCTCTGCTTGAATGATGTCAGTAAACTTTCACAAAGACGTATTCTGCAGGCAGTTGCATCTTTCAGAACAGAAAAAAAAATAATCTATATTCCTCATATTTTCCTAAAGGATCAATTCTCTAGCTAAGTAGCCGTCATTCCTGTCTAGATTTGTATTACTGTGAAGATCCTCAATTTTTTTTTCCCAACTAAAAGCATCAGAAACTGAAATGTATTCCTTGAAGAACACTGACAACAAAACAAAATATATTAAAGGAAAGCATCAAGTAGAAAGTTTATTTATGACATTTTAGTTGAGCTTATTTGTTCACTTTCCTTGTAGTTCAGAGGCCAGAACAACTGGTAATACCATATGCCTCTACAGTTTCGTTAAAATGTTCTTCTTTGATAATGCATGGGATTGATGCACCTTTAACAGATAATAACAGTACTTTTTAAAAAAGAATAAATAGGGTGCTCTGCCAAGACTGAACATATGTCCAAAGAAGCAACTGTAAGGCTTGTTTACAGCAGTTCCTCGGGCTGTAGTACAGACTACAGCAAAGTTTTTCAGCTTTTGATACTGCTGCAGGCTGCAGTTGGGTCTGAATAGCACCAGGAAAAGCAAGCTTCCTCAGATTAAATTTACTGCAAAAATAAAGAACTTAAACTATTTGAATGTCTTTTTTTCTTAAAAAGAATACATAAAACCAGAAACGCATGAGAATTAAATTCTGAGTATCTGACATACTTAAATACTTACAGTATGCAGAAAAGCAGAATTAAGATGCCAAAGTGAGTCAACAAAAGCAAATTAACTATCCAAATAAAAAACAACCTCTCTGTTAAAACTTAAGAATCCACATAGAAGAGTATGAAGGAAGAAGAACCCCAATGCACAGATGATAATAAAAAATAAAAGATGAGGACATGGAAATAAGTGAGTATTTTGAGGTAGGAGAATATACCGCTGGAGATTAAAAATTAACTGCATGCAAGTTCAGATGGGAAATGGAAGATGGATGTTTCTATTTAACAGCATCATTCCCTTCTCAAACAGCAGCATTTCAGTTCATGGCAAAATGGAAAAATGTGTTAATCTCAAGACAGAACACAACCATTTTAGGCTGGCAAACACAAAAAAACCTGCTGACATTCCCCTCAGCATCCAGTACTAAAGTGCAGTTCCAAAAAGCAGTGTTATGCTGTTCTATTCTGTAGATTATCCATTTGAAACTTAATCCTCTTTCTGAGAATTGGAGCTATGCGACAGATCCATTACTGGTATTAAGCATACAAACACTTGTGTTGCACAGCAGTTACTGTGACATGATAATCTGATGAAATACTGGTAAAAACTGATAAATGTATTCCTGAACTCAGCTCTGCTAAATCACACTGAAAACCTCTGGACACGAAGATTTCCTGAACAACTAACCTGCAAGAAAGTTAAGACTGCATTAGTCTCAAAACTGTCATTTGTGTCTATCATTAGGTTTTGAATAGTCTCTCAGTTTTTAGACTGTATTTAATTGACACTTTACTAATCAAAACCTGTGCAAAACTGTCTTAAGGACAGAACTAAAGAAAAAATACTTTATTCAGTAAAGCCTTCAAGATGGAAAACATGGAGTTCCTATAATATTAAACTTAATTTGAAAAAAAGGATTTTGCTATGAGAATTTTAAGTTTCACCTGATTTTTAAGGAATAGAAACTGCACTCAACAATACTTTAGTCAAACACTAGTACCTGTTTCTCCTAATAACCACCATTCACAGTAGGAGCTGTCACAGAGGATGAGCTCTTACCTACAGGGTCTTCACTTCAACAAATAGTCAACAATGACATTTTCTCCTCTCCTGTAACTGCTCTTAATTGTAACTTTCTTACAAGCATAAACAAGCTTTAAAGATTCACCCAAGAGTTCAGCAAACATTTCAGGAATTTCTCAGGACCGGTTAAAGCTTAGAGTCATAAGGTACAAAGAAATTATAGTTAAAGACACAACATCCTGCAATATGAGTTGCTGAAGCTTCCAGTAAGAGGGAAACAAACAAACAAACAAAAAAGTGCTTTACAGCTTAAAAAATTAATCCTGTGGTTTGTTTTGATAATGAAGGCAGGGGTAATCAACTCAATAAAGGCTTCAATCATGAGGTATTAGCTTGAATAAATGAGACTGTACAATGAGCAAGTCAATGCTCTCTCATCTTTAAAGTCAGGTGAAACATAATAGTGATTATTAGAGAAAAAAATAATCAGCACAAAAAAGATGCCTTGTGATTCAAAGAATTTCACATCAGTTTTGAACACTGAATTGTAGTAATTCCTACAACTAGTACTGAATCAGGTTGATATTGATACTCTTTAGACCTATACTTACACACACAAAATGCCAAAAATAAAACTTCTGCATTTATTTTAAAAGCATTTCATTCCTAGCAATTACAGCTGAATCAAACTATATTACCTCAGATTCTTTCTAGTAATTGTGGTGTGCTAACCGAAATAAATTATCGAAGCAACACAAACTGTAGTATTAAAAACCATACATTCTTATTCATCTAAGCACAGTAATTTTCAAAGAATGCTTTAAGTTTTAATATTAAAAACTGTAACAGTGAATTTTACATGTTTACCAAAGCACAAAATGACAGGAAAGAATCTATTGGAATGAGATGCTAAGAGCACAAAGTAACGTTGTCTAGAGACCTGACTAGATAGCTAACAGGATACCATATTTTGTATCCTGAAGTCATTCGTTCTCTAAAGAGACATGAAAGTCAGTGCAAACATTTCAGAGATTATAGGGCTATTGGTAACAAATCTACTGCACTCTAAATTAGTTAGCATTGTGTTTAACGGATTCCAAACAGTTCATGTCCATACAATTTACTTATACTTTCCAAAGTCTCAAAACTAGACCCGGGAGTTGCTCCAAGAGCTTTCCTACAAAACTGGGAGTATCAATTGTTTGCAGTGCAGCAGGAAAAAAGGTGAACCTGTCTGCACATTTATTTTTGCATATTGTAACATTCACGTATTACAAAAAGCGATCCCTTAAATTCAACTGCATACGTCTGGTTATTGTTATTTGCAGCAAACAACTGTTTAACAGAAAGCAAAAGAAAACAACCTGGCAGCAAATATTAAAACAAATCTCAGAAAACACCACATAAAATGATTAAGAAAAAAAAAAGTTGTTTTTTTTTTTTAATGCACCTAAGAATATGACTAATGGGCTGGCTTTCAGTATTGTTTTATTTTTCTTCCCCTATTCAATTTATTTTTTTCCAGGTAGATCTTGCTTACAGCATAGTTAGTTGCTGATGAAGAATGCAACAATATTAAATGCAAATAGTTAAGTAGTTTTCCAAGCAGCTACCTAACAAGCAGTATTACACAAATTATATCCTTGCTGTATGATTTAGTATGTACATTCTAGATTGTTCTCTTTAGTCTTCATAGCTGAGTTGCTAGAAAACTGGATTTTTTTTTCTATTTAGAATTCTTCAGGTTATGCTTCACTGAGAATTATACTCCTGTACATACTCAGAATTGCATTTCATGCACAGAATTAAAGAGTTAGATAATAATCTCAATTCTTGGTTCACTTCCACGTAAATTGCTTAGGAACAAAATAGTATAAGAGCTGAAAATTTAATAGGCAAACCAACTGCTGACTATTAGATTAAACCAACTTTTCTAAGAACACTTAACTGTAGCCCAAATCTCCACTTACTAGTTACTATTATGCTAACAGGGCTACTTCTATACACATTGTTTAAAACAGAATACTGATAATTAAAGCCACATGAAAATTAAAAGATCTCTCAAATGCAACTCTTACTATATAAGCAACAGCTTACAGCTGACTGCAAAGCTGTTTATATAATTAGATGGGTATTTACATTCTACCAGGATCCAGTATAAGTACTAGCTGAAGATCAGTTTACTTGAATACTGGTTGTATTGAAATTACGCAGGTTTTGGAGACAATACAGATTTTGTCTGATGATCTCCAAGAATACAGCAAAGCAATCATACTTACAACTGCTTCAATTCAATACACTACTGTTCAAACAGGACTGTGAAAGCAACAAAACAACACATTCTTTGAGCACTATGCTAAATTTCAAGGCCCACTGATAAAGTTAACAGCTGCCTGCAGATATGATCTTCAACTCTTGAGTTCTTTCAGAGAGAGCTCTTAAAAAGACTGCCATACTACAGTACTGTCATCACAGGATAAATGTTACAACAGTTCACCCAACAAACTTTTCCATCAGAGACTATATGTAAACATTTGAACTGCTTGACAGAAAGGAGCAGTTGCGTAAGACAAATGTCTCATGAAGTATGTGTCAGCCTACTTGCTCTAAAGGTTGTAGGGCTCATAGGAACAACAGCTGTAAGGAATTACTCTCATTCACCCTATCTGCTATACAAACAAGGTCCCAGGAACTGAGAATAAGGATTCTAGATACTACCACAGTACTGTTTCTTAATAGTAACAAAAAAGAGTAAGAAGCAAGGCTTACAGTCTGACTTTCGGGAAAGTCCATCTTCAACAATTTGTGAGCACATTCTTCAAAGTCTAAGCTGCAATAATAGAGAAAACAGCTCTCATTATCTGTGCAATATATCCTATGCTAAAAACATTTCAGAATTATACTGATTGATTGCTGATGCTGAAGTTTCAACTGTTTTGAAGTATTTAATTAGTATTCAGAAAAGTGTTTATTTTGTTGTGTTTATTGTTGCTGTGGTGTTTTTTATATAAATATTTTGTATTTCATGAATTTGTACCTGAAAATTAATCTGAAAACACCACATTCGCAGACAATCTGAAAACAAGACAACTCAGGTGATTACTGTTGCAAGCGCTGTACATAAGCTCCAAAAGGAGTATATACAAAGCACTCTCCTCTTGGCACTTCTGTTCTTGCTTATTGAAAGCCTTTAGCTAGCAGTAGGTACCTGCCCCCACCCAAGATGAACAAACTTAAGCAGGGCAAGGAAGTATTGAACAGTAGCTTTGAGAAATGTAAGACCTTTTCCCGCATTTTAGTATGGTATTAATTCCTGTGTCTGAAGAGCAATGCCACAACTACATTATCTCACCCCTCATGCAGGTTCAGACATGCAGAATATTATGGGCCATGCCTACTTTTAACGATGGAGTTGAGTGACATATGACAGGTTAATCTCTCACCCAGGTGACACAGGAGTTAAACCACCATATTTTGATTTGTGCCATGTACTGCAAGGGGATTTCCTTCTTGAGATGAAGAAACACCTTTCTGAATACAAATAATGTACACTTCAGGACCGGTATCTGTATGCTTATATTCCAAACAATGCAGATGGCAATAGGACTAAAGAATATCACGCTGCAGAATGCTTACTTTCGTAAGTCATTCTACAGCATCTCTATTTCAAGTGTATCACACATTTTTTTCAGAAATGCTGAAGGTGTACAATGTGCTGCATAATCTGAAGACCACTGACTTTTGTTCACTCAAAAATGTGATGGCAGTAACCCTCATAGAAAAAGTCCCAGTTCACTACCGTTTTGAAACAAACAGGATTTATCTTAGAATAAGAACTGGGGTATCCATTTGTTAAAACAGCCTATATTATCAGGTCCAGCTCCATAAAGAACAGTACCCTGCCTTTTTTTTAATTGTACATTAAAAATTAATTTAAGAAGAAACAGAATTCTAGTTCATCCGTTTCAAAATATGTACATTCAAAGGTGTACAAATTCTATTATATTTACCTTGACTGTATAGCAAGATAAATTGTACGACGAAAGGACACCAGGTTAATTTCTGTTTTGTCATGGACAGTAACTTTCTGACCTGGGAAGGAAAACACGGTTTTGTAAAGAGCAAAGTATTAAGGCAGATATATATAATTTCTTAGAATAGCAATACATACTATTTACTAAGTCTGTAGCACACAACATAATACCCTTCTAGAAATATTTAGAAAAGTTTAGCACCTTAATGTATTTTTTATTTTTATTATTACAAAGAAGGAATAATAATAATAAAAATTATCAGTACTTGTATCATCTGATGTGAACAAGTAAATATTTAGAGATATAATTTAAAGAGAGTAACTCCCCTTTTAAAAATCTTTCACATGACTTAGCCACTGCAACCTCCGGGTTCAGCACTTCTTGTATATATTGTTAGCAAAGTATTTTCTGTATAATTTAACTACACAATGCTTTTACATAGTCCCTGATTTCAATAAGAAATACTGTGTTTCTACATTACAGTATTTTGCAAAGTTCTCTTTTGTCATGAAGCAAGCGTAGAAAAATCTGTTCTGAACCAAAACCATTCTGGAAACACCTTCGTTCATCAGGCATTCACTATTACTTCATTCTTTTAAAGTCTGGTAACAGCATGAATGATGAAAAGTTAAGCGAATTCTCAAACTTTTATTCAGCCTGGAAGCTCTTTTCTTCTGTGAAACACTGCAGCAAACTAGTGAGGAAATACATTCCTGGTATTCTACAAGAACAGGACTTGGCTGGCATTTAACTACTCACACAGTCTGCACAAATATTTCAGGTATGCTCATCCATCAGGTTTTTTTTCTGGGAATCAAATATTTAATTCTTTGAAAATGTGTAAACCCTGACTGCTTCCCCTGAAGACCAAGAAAGGGGGCTGGAGGGTGAACTAAAAAAGACGTTTCTTAGCTCAGCCCAGAAATAAGATGTAAAGACAGTTGTAAGAAAACCCACTATGATTTTTTAAGTGACTTAAAAATATGACAGAGCACTCGAAAGTGTTCAGAAATGTTTGTCTTTTCAAGTTTTTAAGGAAGTGTTTTCACATTCTGTATTTTTAATGTCTTATGACATTATTATACGTCATTATGGTGTCACATATACTATATGACATTATGAGGCTTTTCTCACACGAAACTGATGTGGTCAAAAACAATCAGACAACATACCAACACTAGTAAGGTGCCAAACATACGCTTACCATCTTCTCCCTCCTCTTCATCATCATCTTCATCCTCCTCACTACTTCCAGCCTCTTGATCTGCTTCAGATTCACTGTCACCTTCATCAAGAATTTCTGAAAGAGCAGTATCCCAGATTAAAGTACTATAGACCACAGTAGTTTCATTACCAAAAAAACTTAATCCCACATTTATAAATGAAATGGGTGGTGCCTCAGATATAGAATGTGACAGAGTCAAAAAAAAAAAAAAGGGTAAGTAAACAACCTACAAATGTGTAAAATTATAAATATTATATATAAACGTGTATATGCACACCCCTACCTTTCTTCAGCATTTTGTATTTCTCTTCATTTTCCATAAAGTTCGGATCCATCTTGAAAACATCTTTAAAATAAAAAAGAATCATTTAAAACACAAAATTATGAAAATGATGAATATTTAATCTTAAATTTGTTTTCATGGGGAATGCAGTCCTAGAATTATCTTCCATTTCTAACTTACTAAGAACATCCTCTGGGTTGTACTCATCTTCTAATGGCAACATATGAGTGAACTGATCCTCCTCTTCTACTAGATCTAATCCCTCTGGAATGATTGGATGATCCTTGAAGCCATCCTTCCGTACAGCAAACATAACTTCTATCATATATTGAACACGCATATCAATTTTAGATTCATGCAGAATATGTCGAAGACGGTCAAAGATTGCTTTGGAAAAAGACAGAAATGTAATTATGAAAACATTTACTAATACAAAAACCAAAACCACAAACGTTCTGGCTTAAATATACTTACCATTAATACCCCTAGGAGAAACTTCTGTTAATTTGAGCCCACTCTCTTTAATAAATCCAATTGCTACTTCAATACTGTCATCAGTAGGCCTTTCAAGAAGCAATGTGAGCATCTCCAAACATAAAACCTCATGAGCCTATAGAAAGAATATTAATAAAGAATTAGAATATACAATGTAGCACTATTATTATAGTGATTTACTTGACAGAGCAGTCCAGCCTTTGAGGATACCACAACACAATCACACATGCAAGGCAAATGTAGTGGGACAAAGCTAATAAAAAAAACAAAGGTCAAAATTTCAAATATCATTTTACCACCTGTATTTACACCAACTTTGTGGCAAATGCAACTATGCTACTGAAGTGAAGAAGCAAACAATGAAAAACATACTGCCATTAAGAAAAAAAAATCACCTGCATTTCCAAGAAGCAAATAAAACAGCATAACTAGTTTCAGTAATGTAAGTTAGTGGACTGTGTCTACAGTTAAATCAGGTCTTCCAGGGGGAGGCATACAAGCAAACGGCACATCTGGGATCAGTTTCATCTTTCCCAAAATGTTGTATATTCCCAATGCATTCCTGAAACACTGTTTCTTGACATTATTTAATTGAAGTATCCTGACTTTTAACACTTAAAAAGGTAGCATAGAGCTTGATTCAGTTTAGACACAACTGAGTCTAGATCTAACTCCACAGATGTTTAAAGGAGATGACAGTGTTGCAAGAACACTTTAATATGTGTGGAATAGAGCCCCACATGATGCTTGCTTTGCATCAAGATTTGTCTCAGTACTAGCCCAAACATATTTACCACGTCTGGTGAAGCTCGGGAGCGTAAGTGCAATGGTAAGTGATGATAACTGCACAGGCAAATCCCAATGCCTTTAATAAAAAGGTCCTAACAACTCAGTTTTTCAGTAAACTTTAGAACAGGGAGAGTATCTTAACTTAAACAACTGCTGTCTTGAAATCAAGGAAATAGCCATGCAGGCTTTAAATTGAGAAGAAACATGAAGTAACATACCACATTCTGATTCATCAAGTGTGCAACAAATTTTGAGGATGTTAGACAAAGTTGCTGTAAAAGAAAACAGAAACTTTTAACACATTGTATATGAAGGACAAAAATTTGTAACTCAGACAGACTGCAGAGCTGTGCATCTCGCAATCAAATGTGCTACTGACAGTTGTTCACAACTATGCTTTAAAAAACCAACCCCTCAAAACTGTCCCAGTACCAACACAGAACAGGTTGTCAAGCTTTCATGATATTCTGACACCAGTATACTTAATATACTAGTAAGTCCTGACCCTCAGGTCTCAGCTGTGCTCCTTCAAGTACCTAACTGCAACACACATGATAAAGTTAACACGACAGAATTGTAAGTTTCAGCATGTTGCTTCTTCACATCTTACATACCTTATCATTTCTGCGATATCCTTTGCGAAAATTTAGTATCAACCTCTTGAGAATCAATTCACCAATATTTGGAAACTTTGAGTTGATAATTGCCACTAGGGCGGCATAAACATGGGTGAAAATTGGAGAGGCACTCTGAGCTTGCAAAATGGATCTAGACAAAAGCCCCCTGTAAAAATATGTAAGTTTAAGATTTTCCTGGTAATAAAAAAACATTTTTATTCAGTACATATCACATAAAATGGTATTTTACAGCTGGAATAGTTAGAAGATACCAGATGGTCATTTTCAAACTGTTGTTTATCATGTCACAAAAAAAGTTTTGCAAAATCTGTTGCTCGTGTTCAAGACAAGAAATTATTATCTTTCACTACGTATTATTTCTATTCAAACTACATCTGAAAATGCTAAGCATGTACAAAGTCTTAATCTCTTATTGTGCAAGTATCTTTTATCCCTTTACTCGACACAGATTCACCAGTTTTGAAATCTGTATGATTTTGCTGTGTCTTTTCCTCAGTTCAGAAAACAAATACCTGTTTGCGACAGAAAAAACATCTTCTCTGCAACCATTTATGAAACACAGAATTGCGTTTCAGTATAATAACTTAAACAAGCCAAACAAACTTCTAAGAAATAAAAATTACATTTCCATAAAAGGTCTTTTACAATAAACATCTACCTAAGAATAATAGAACAATGTTCAGTAAAACCGGAGTGGGCAAAGTAATACTTTTTAATGCTTTTCTCAAACAACACTGAGTATTTCCAACATAATTATTTTTTGGAACTGAGAACTGATTATAAAAGACTACTATTACAGCCTACATGAATGTAAACACAGAGCCCATGAGATAACAGTTTATCATACTAGCAGTCTCTCTTACGTTTGTATCAAGGCTGAAGTCTGAAAAGAACCTGAGACTCCCCTCCTGCTTCACCTCCCCCTTTGTTTTGTTTCTTTTAATGCTTTAGGCGCATGTAATAGAGTAATATAGCTAAAGTAAAACTCTAAATGGGTGAAGAGAAAAAGAAAATACCCTCCAAACAAAGTGCACACAGGTGTTCAACTCTGTCTTCTCTGTGGTCTTTTGGAATACCCCCCCAAAATGCCTATGTGATACTAAACACATAAAACTATGTAAGGACCTTATTCCTACTTACTTTGAAGTTGACACATGAAACAGGACTCATTTCATACTAGTGCACAAACCCAGAATTATTTAATTCTGAAACTACTAGTTACTTCTTGCTTATACACTGAAACTGGTCTGGTTCAGACCCTATTTACTCTCTACTCAGAAATTCAGAAAAGGCCTTGCAGCTAGTTAAAACTTCATGTCATTAATTTCATATGCACTTTTCTGCAAATCTGGAAGTCAAAATTAACTGTAAGAAGAAGGAAAATGGTGCCATTTTCCATCTACATTATTTTGAAATTTATAAGCTTATAAACCACACACAAAAACTTCCACAGCGTATTCAAAACACATTTAATAAGTTCATTTTTAAACTAAAATATTGCTGCTTATACGAAAATTAAGTTTCAGGGACATGAAATCTGGAAAGTAAAAAGAAGCCCCACACAGACTGAGACTTCATTATTACTTCTAACTGAAATTACATTCAAGAACCACTTGCTCACTCTCTAGATTTTACTTCTCTCCTGTCATTTTCATGCTACTTGCAGGATTCTAATCTTCCCATGAGGTATGGCATACATGAAAGTCATATATTCCTTCACTATAACCTCCTCAAATAGCAGTGACAAGTTCAGAAAAAGTATTGCCATCTGTTTGAAATTTAACAGAGGATTTTTTTGTTGGTGGTGGTTTGGTCGGGTATGTTCAAGTGGCAGTCGAACTAAGAAACCCATGCTCCTTTAGGCTAGCAGATTTAACCTCTAGTAACACCAAAATGAAAGCAAGGCAATATATCACACTGTTTGCACAATCACCATGACTTCATGCTGACCTCAAACAGCATAATAATATTTTCTGTACATTGCAACAATAAACAATCCTGCAGGTATCATGGAAACACAAGAAAATGTTTTAAAAGGGTAAGACTTACCTTCCACGAACAATATTTTCCTGAAGGAGCTCATGAATGATATTTTCTATATTAGAAACGTTCACTTTATTGACAAGACCATTGATGGACTTCTTCAAGGCTTCCCAACTCATCCTCTGATATGCCAAGCTATTACAAAGGTACAAGGAATTCTTACTGCATAAATCTGAGGTAGCATTGCGTGAATTCATATATATATATATGAAAACACAAATATAAGTTGTAATCAGTAAAATAGGTTTAGTTCACAATTATACATTTAACTACTAGGAAAATACCAAAACAACATTATACACCAAAATGTAATTCTCCACAGACATGGTATAACCCAGCATGCTCAGATTTCCAAGATATTCTAGAAAATCCCTGGCATCCCACTTTTCCATTTACACTTCACAGCAAAAGTAGGTACAGTCATAATCTGATTCTCTTACCTTTCTGCTGATAGAAAGATACCTTCAAAAGAATGATCACAGCTATTCAAGGTTATCCCATTTTCATCAACATTCACCAAAACTCTTTACTGTTTCACTTTGCAGTAGAAATGCTAATATATTACTTTCAACTCACCTATTTTTATCAGTGATTTGCTCTTGCATCATCCTGAGCTTGGCAGGTGGAATATATGCACCACCTGTGCGAGTAAGGATAGGATCCACTTCTTCCTTCTTCTTCTTTGAAGAGGTCTCATCATGAGCAAGTGAGCTCTGGACTGTCGACCTCTCTGGACTCCTATGATCAGGTGATGAGTGTCTTCTCCTCCTTCGATCAGATTCTCTCTCCTCCCATTTCTCATGGTGTCTGTCTCTACCCCTTTCCATCCTTCTATAAAAAAAACCAAAACCAAAAAAATAAACAAAAAACCCAACCAAAAACCTTAAACAACAACAACAAAAAATCCCAGACCACCAAATACCCAAGGGTTTGTGCGAAGTTTTCTCATCTTATTCATTAAAATGAGTATCTTATTACTGATTAAGAAGGGGCTTAATACCTTCCTTCTGAAGTTCTGTCATCATAGTATTCCCTTCTTGAATACTCATGATATTCGTATCTGCTGTCGTCAGAATATCTTCTCTTTCTGGGAGATGGAGACCTGTCACGCTCTACATCCCTAATTGCAACCCAAGACACAAAATTCTTAGTAATAGGCTTTGACAAGCAATGCTATTAATATCTACTTGCAATATAATGTTACAATACAGAACTGTTACAATTCTGCAACCTGGGTTTCAGTTTAAGCACCATTCAGATAGAAGATGCTCCATCCATAATAACTTCCTGTCAGCAAAAAATAATCAAAAAGCAAAGGAGCACTGTAAAAAGCTCCCCCTAGAACTTAAAATTAAAGTCTAGTCGTAATAACATCAAATACCAAAGGTAAATTTAGCACCACAGATTCCTTATTACAAGAGGTTTGATTCCAGTTAAAATGTGAAATTAAAGGTAAGCTGGTAACAGTTCATCTTATGCCTTGGAGAAATATCAGCTGAAGTGCACTCTACCATCTCCTACTAGCATCAATAATCTTGCTCTAAAGTGACAACTAAAGAATCAGCAATATGCGGGTCCAAGCAAAAAGCTGGCATCTAATTGCCACTTTCAAATTGTCACATTCCCGTGACAATTTAACTGAATGCTAAAGATTTTTTTTTAAGATTTAAAAAAAGATTTAAAAGATTTTAAAAAACCCTAAAACCACATCTTCATTTACTGCTATATCAACATGCATGTATTTTATTAAATTTACACTTATTTTTCACCGTTCGGTTATAGTAATACACAAAAGTGCAGGTTTTGTTTCTTTATCTAACTATCTACGTGAAGTATGCATACAAAAATGTATGGTATAAGAACCATTCTACCTGTCCTCTGGAGACAGACTTCTTCGGTGCGAACTGTAGTTTTCCTTCTTTTCATAACTGGAACCATGCTTTAGAAAACAGGGAAAAAAAAAATCAGCCCAAACATTATACATTAATTACTGTGAGCACATATATATTGAGATCAAAGCGTATCATGTCTTCAGTTCTCTACTCCTTTACAAGAAGGGCTACCAAATAAAGCTAACAGCAGTCAGTTAAGACAAGGACAGCTGGCTCTAAAGCGACAAGTAGTAAAGCAGCTGGACTCCCTCCTACAGGATGCTGCAGGATTTATCCTTAAATTCCTCCTTTTTACTAACCATGACTTATTTTCTCACGAGTCATTCCTAGTTTCATTCATTATAAACATCTAAGTTACACTGTTCCACTTGACAGACCCTCGAAGCAAACTTAATTCTAGATTTAAAATGTAAATTTACAGGATCGTTTAAGTGACACACACTTAAAATAGTTCTGTGGAGTGAACCATGACCTGTAGAAGTATGGAATTATACACAGAAATCGGAGCATGCCAGCATCTACAACACACATACAAAGACATCTCATCAAGATGCTTCAAAATTACTTTGGTGGAGTATAGAGGCTATATAGCTATAACCTCTATACTTTAATTGTAAAGGTCCTTTTTTCCCCTTAAAATACTATTTATGATTTTTCAGAAGCACGACCTCATGTTATCAGCCAGCGATCAGCTCTGAAGTAGGTAACACTCCACCCTGATGCTGAAATTCAACACAAGGACTTGCTTATGCACTTTGAACTTTTTGCTGAAATACTCATCTGTTGAAATGGCACTGTATCATTCAACATGCTAGCATGCTAGTTTTTGCTTCACCAAAGAACCAGTTAAAACTGTTGGTTAGTTGAAAACAATGACATCTTGGTCACAAGCTGACCCTGATGGACAGTTATACACAATGATCTCCAAAACTGTCATTAGGAACAACATGGCAAGCTACTCTACTACATGGCAAGAGTGTCTTTACTATGTGGCAAGCACAGTGTTTATAATGAGCTGTGCAAGTAAAATCAACATTAATGGAAGCTTGCTAAAGTAATAATAGCAACACAACAATCATGAGCATCATCCTATCAACAGACTGATGAGGCTGAGTTGCCATCACTCAGATTGGAGTGTATGTACACATATGCAAGTATATATTTATATTTCTGAGACCATTACAACATATCCTAGAATATCATCTTCCCTGGGGTACATTTCCACACCACGTTAAAAGATATTCTCAGTGTTAGCTTGCCTGAATCAAGACAATGGTACAAAACAAATGCATTGCATCATTTACTGGGAACATACATCCCTAGCAAAGTAATGCCTATCTGACAATTTAATTTCAGAGTCACATTGTCTTTGATGGCAAAGCTAGTATAACAAATTCATGTGTTTTCAACAAGGTTTTCTTTCCCTTTCAATATTAATTTGTGGCACTACACCATACAGCAGATCACTGAAATCAGTCAAGGTTAAAAAGGTCCTTAAGTTGCTGGTTTGGTTTTCGTTTTTCACAAAAATAATGTAATGCAAGATTGTATCCTAAGCTTCCATGGAAGTAACAAAAATCTTCAAAATACACAGAACAATTACTGTATTCAAACAATATTTAGCAGGTGGGAAGAAGTGGGCCTTTTCAGGATGATCTACTCTCATGATTTCTACGTCATCTGCCTTTGCCCAAGCAGACCTGAAAAGAGAAGTGTTCACAGAAATAAAGCAATGTTAAGGATGTCTCTGTATTTGGCAGTTATCATGTCCCATTGCAAAAGCAGCTGTTTGCTGAAGAACTTGTCACCCTTAGCTCTTTGCGACCAGGCCTTCTTCCACAAGTCACAGTCTTCTTCCTTGTCCATTTTTATCAAAATGATTAAGCCAAAGTGTCCAAATAGTGCGGTTTTGCTAACTGACTGATTTTGACAAATGAGGAAGCACTACCATAACCACCAGACTGGGAAGATATTGAGAAGATATCAAACGATCCCTCAAGCATCTCTATTAATAACCACTTCACATAGAAAACTTGGAACCAAAAGAGTGAAGAAGCCTATGCAGGGTCAAACTTTAGAAACAGGCAGATAAATACCAAAGATTTGAGACAGGGTATTGCTCTGCTAGCCTGCGCCAAACTTAAAGAGTATTTTTTAAAGCCAATATTTGCTCCTTGCATTCCTAAAAAAATCAATCCCAACCATTCAGAAATGTGTCACATGGCTTTTAAAAGGGAAACAAAGTTTAGCTTTCACAGTAAGAAATACAGTTGCCACATTAATTGCTATTTCCTCTCTTTTCATTTTAACATGATTATTTTTTCAACACCTCTTTTTCCCATTCCTCCACATGCTTATGTTTTCTGTTGACCCATCATTCAACCACTTTTTCCCTATTACTTTATCATTATATGCTAATAGTGCTCAGAAGTTGTATTGTTGGGATAACAAGTGCTAGAAACACCTGTAATTCACTAACTTCATAGAACTATTTCTCCTGTAAACAGCTGCTGTCAATATTGTTTGCTTTAAATCCAAGGAGGTTTATTTACTATAACATCAACTACAATCATAATCACCAGTAATAAGGGAATGATAAAACACTACGATTTAAAAACACTTACATTTACTTGCGTAACCCTGCTCTTCATCTTGACTTCCTACTTTTTATGAAGCTCTGAATGTGCAGCAATGAGACAATCCAAGGTGGAGTTCAGCAGACAAAAAACATTTCATCTATATAACACGCAGAAAACAATAAAAAGGTTTTCATTGCACGAGGTGCCGGAACTTGCTCTTTTAATTTGCTCCTTAAAGCTACGTTTGCGTAACTCCTTAAACCAAAACAAACACTTCCCCCAACCCCGGCCAGGCCTCTTACTGTTACACAGCACCTGTCTCAGGAGAGAACGGCTGCAGAACAGCAGTCGGGAGGCCGAAGCCCTGCCCACGGGCACAGCCACACGGCGCCCGGTCCCGGCTCGCCACCGAGCTCTCCGCCGGGCTGCGTTAACGCCCGCTGCTGAGCCGCGACTTCCGAGGGGAGGTCCCAACCACCTAACCCATGGGCTCACGCGGCGGGCCAGCGGGCGGTGTTCGGGGGCTCCCCGCGCTCCCGGGGGTAAGGTGGGAGGGGAGAAAGGTGATCCACCGCCCTGCCCGCGAGACCACCGCCACCCACCACCCGCGGCCCAGCCTGCTTGCACCTACCGCCCACCACTGCACACGGCCACACCGCTTTCACTTCCGGAGCACGTCGGCGCACAACGCGCGCGCGCAGCCGGCGGTAGTTTCGTTTCCCGCGTAAGGAAGAACAAGCTTCCGGCAGCCAGGGCACTGGTGCACGACGGGAAGCGTAGTTCGGCAGTAGCCGCCATCTTGCGTTCGGCCCGGTGTTCTGGGGGCTGTTCACCGGCTTTGTCCGTCCAGTTTCGTTTTGTTTGTTATTTAGAATTCAAATGGTTTTAGTGGTTATTGTAAGGAAAAACAAAACCACCAAAACCACAAGCCAGAGGGACATAAGCTGGTAGAGTGACTCCTGACTATAGTTCTATAGCAGATGTATTGCTCCATCCTGTTCAGCCTGCACTTCCCTAGTGCTGCCTTCTTAAGTGAAGGCGTCTCAGAAAAAACAGCCCCATTACTACCAAATGTACAAGGGTCCGGTCTGAAATACAGGTAATGGCTAACGAGCAGTCAAGTCCTATACCAACGAGAAGTCTTCCAGCATCTCAGTGAATTTACTGAGTGAGTTTAGTACACTGGTGCCTTAAGTAACACCTGTAGTGCACACTTGCTGTCACACAGATGAGCTGTTAGTTAAACATTACTTGAAGTATGTCTAGGACAGACATAATACATGACACCATGATGGGTGTTAAAATGCTGTTACATTAGGATACCTGTTTATCACAGGGGGCATTTTGGCCTCTGACAGTCTGGAGTAATTGAGCACCACCAATTCACGCTAACACAGAGCCTGTGGCTTATTAGAGGCACAATTTTGTTTGGCTTGTGAAAAGTCATTAAATTCATAGGGAGGGAAAACAAAACAGGACAAGAAAATGCTCTGTGAGGTCTTAAAATGATTATGGTTCATCTTCACCTCTTGCAAGATAATGAAAATAAACTCTTTGAGGACACAGCACATCACGGTCAGAAAGGCACTAATTCAGCCAAGAGCCAGATGGCTCGTGCAGGGACATCTGCAACCAAGCTGTGTGTCACTTGTGTTGTGCTGCACCCACCAGTGTCCACATGAAGTCCATGTGTGTGCACATGTATTGGGACACGGTACTTGTTAAGGGGAAGAAGGTGGCAATAAGGTGGGAGCAATGCTGGAAAAACAATACTTACAATCCTGCCTTTCAAACAAGGCAGAAAACGCATCAACTGCAGAGGATTCTGAGGAGCGTCGAGTGTCTGTTAGCCTTATGCGGACTCACAACCACAGTTACGGTGTTATCTGCTAACACATTCCCTGTGTTCGTCTCACAGCTGAAATTTGCTGAACTATGATATTCACAGACCAATCTACAAGATAGTTTCGTGTGAGTGGCAGGTATTTGTCTGCAGCATCCCTGCAAGAAATGGGGAAAAAAAGCACGTAATTTTACATGTTTTATTCCTGTTCCCCCTTGCCCTCCTGTGAGAACTGCACCCTCTGACTGTGTTAGTGGAAATTGGCTCCTTTCTCACAACTAGGTAGCTGTCAAGAGGGAGGTACTTCCACATTACTGTAGAGTCCTTGCCCTGTCTCAATCCCCCAACAACCCAGGTGTCCAGGTCTGGGGCCAGAAGGTGGGTGACTCCTGGTTGTGCCTAGGGTCCTGTAGCCTTCCTCTACCACATATTTTGCAGGCCTCTGGTCCTCTAGGTTGGTGAGCCAATCTAAGTTTTTAGTGACTGTGATCCTAAAACCTGCAAAGTCCTCACTAGCATTTTGTAAAGGAAGAAGACCAGATAGCTGAATCACTCACTTCAAGTGCAGAATGACTAAGAATGTCTTAATGTCTTCTTTGTGTTGTGATGGTGGCCAGCCTCACTCACCAGATGACAGCATAGGAAAAAACATGCGTTATTACCTGAAATAATAGGAAAATGTTATTGAAACTTTGCAGAAAACTAGCTAATTCAATTTACCTCCAAGTATGGAATAAACAGTGAAATCAAAATAATGAACTAAGAAAGCAAAATGAAGAGGTTTCATAATAATAATAAAAAAGCTATATTTTGAAATTCATGACACAAAGGTCTGTGTAAAGTAAAAGTACAATTCGGGGTTATTATTGAGGGTAATCCCTTCAATGCTGAAGTACTGGAGAGTGCTGGAAATCTTCTATTGACTTATTCTGTAACATTTATTGGTTAGGCTAAAAATTTTAAGCTCCAAGCTTTTCTGGAAAGCATAGCTCTCAGTATCTTCTTGCTACTTTCTAAAAATGGTTTAGTGTCAGGTATCCCAGTATTTTCTTCTTCTTCACAATAGATCATGATTACACACAATTGCTGGAACAGCTACTGTTTTTTAAATGCCCTTTCAGGACACTGATTTGTTTCCTTTATTATTCAGCAGTCTTGTTCTTCTGTTAGCTCTTGATGTATATCCATGTGGGTCTGTTCTCATTGTGGAAATGATAGAAGGTTTCTGCTTTTGGAGGATTAAGATGTTGATTAGAAAAGGTAGTTACTGAAAGCATGGGGATATTTGTTACTCTTAATAACAAGGAACTTTAATTTGTACATGTTCTGAAAGATTTGTCATTGATTAACTACATGCATATAGAGCACTAGATGAGAGCATTAAAAATTTAGTTGTGCTTACATGTTTAACACTTCACATTTTGTTCATTCTCATCAATATGGAAATATCATATTTGTTTTGTGAGAATTCCCTTGGGATAAGGCTATTTGTACTGAAACAAAATGTTTTTAAATCCCAGTGATGCAAAACACTTTCTCACTGTGCCCTGTGGATCGCTTTGCAAAATCAACATCCTCTGTATTACATCTTGCTTGAAGTGTGGGGCTGGCGAATTTGCAGAGCTGAGGCCTAACATCTGTGAGCTTGTAAACAGCATGGGCTTATTGTGATGACTTTGACTTATTGCTTAATTGATTGGGGATTTTTATTTTAATGTTTGACTTGCATATTTTCTAAGGGCAGTCTTAGTTATATAGCTTGCAAATGCTACAGTAATTATGCTTCACTTGAAATACGGCTTAATTCTACCACCAGGTTCTGTCATGCAGATCATTACCAGTGACATTAGGACATTATATCATGTAACCAGATGTTCTGAAATGCAGTAATTTAAAAGAACCATATCTTCCCAGCATTTGTGCTCACATTGAGTATGCATTAATAACTATGAGGCTGGGATTTTTTGATGCAAATACAGGAAAACATTTTAATCGTGATAACTTTCATGGAGTCATACCACTTAGTTAAAATTCAGATCCAGCATTTCATTTTGCAAAGTTACGTGGGTGCCATTAAAGGTCCATTGTCACTGGTGATTTGTGAATTAATACTGGCTTCTACAAACACACCTATTTGACTTGATTGGCTTACAAAATATGTGAAGAAGAGATTAAGTACATAATCAAATTATGTTTTTTACATATTATTATGAAACCCCAATGAGTTTTGTTTGTTCCCCTGTCATCTGCTGTTAGCATTCTTAAAATGATGCTGCGTCTTAGCTTTTCTTTTGTTCATGCACTTCTCTGTTTCAGTCAGGTCAGTGGTAGTAATGAGAGCTATATTCAAAATGCAAATACTTCTGTTAGTAGTGCTCTCAGCACTCTAGATTAGATGACTGGTAGTTTTTCTAGCTAATCTTTCAATTAACTGCTTCATGAAGGCAGAAGCAGGACACTACATACTTTCTGTTTTTTTTCAAACAGAAATCCATTTTCCTGCTTCATAAAGGCTTGTTTTTCATAACGTGCTCAGGAAAACAACTTGCCTTTTTCCCCTCTTTCTTCACTAAATTTTCTTAAGTTACATATTCCTCTGTTTCTTAATGATACCACGTTCCTGGCTGTGCTTGCTTTCTCCTTTACCATATAATTTCTGTTCAGGACTCCAGAGTTGTTTTTCCAGTTTTGCTAATTACTTGCTGTGATACTAATTCCAAATCTTCCTTGCTATTCAGATAACCCTTTAGTAGAACAATGTAGAAAGTGCAGCTTCCTGAGGTGTACTGGGGGGTGTGTGTCAGATCTAGCTTATATTTGATAACAGGTTTTGTGTTTGGGTTTTGGCAGTTTTTTGGTTTATTGGTTGGTTGGTTTTTGGTGTTGTTTTCTGTTTGGTTTTTTTTTTTTTTTTTTTGTGAGTGAAACTATATGAATACAATATAGTTAATTTTTTTAGCTGATTTTGTATATATTTTTTTGCTAGCAATGTTAATTTTTAAAGCTATCAGCTGAATTTAGTAAAACGTCCTCAAAAAATGAAAATGCTACAAGTTCTTTTTCCTTCTTTTTCTTTTTTTTCTAGGTTCTTGAATCAACTTACTTTTTCTCTACTGAATATTATAGTCTTTTTCTCACATTGTGTAATGTGTTTTGTCACATCATGTAACACACCTGTAAGACTACTTTAACAGCAACAAGTATTACAAGCTTGAATCCTCAGTGTTCAAAAAAAAAAACACCCCAAACATTGACAGACTAAATCTGGTTAATCTGGTGCAGCAGTTGAAGACTTAGCTATTAAGATTTAAGATATCTGCACTGCTCCTCAGTCCAAGATTCTGATACTACAGAAGAGTGAGAAAAGGATCATCATCCCATGACTGACAACATTGAGTATGCTGTGGAGCACATTAACTCAAAACTGCTTTGGCTTAAACTACACTACCAGTCTTTGCTCCCCAGCACTTGAAGTGTTAACAAAATGAGTACAAACCTGTTCTCAAACTTTTCCAAAGGCCAGTTGTGCTATCATAGAATTATGCACCATACCAGATATAAATATTCTGCACTCCAGAGATAATAGCTATTTTTGCTTACAAAGTTATAAAAGTCAACTCTCTCATTTACTTTGCAATACTAAGAGGAAAATATAATAAAGCAAGAAATCCCTAATCAAGATAAATACAGGAATAGGATATGTTAATAATAATAATACGGAAAAGTGCATTATTTTTTTCTGCTTATCACTAAGTTTTAGATACAGAATTTGATTTCTTTGGCTTTCAAACTGTTTTGCAACTGTGGTGCTTACACATGAGACTGAAAGCAGCATGTGTCTGGATGGTTATACAGGTTCTGACAATATGAATTGTTAAATGCTTCTGTGAACCCTCTGCAAATACAGCATCGCCTGGCCCTGTATGTTCTATGGTTTCTCATTCGGCTGTAAAAGTAATCCTTTTCCTGACTCACACTGTGTAAACAGGTGTCATGAAATAAAAAGGCATATGGCACCAACGTGGCAGCAGCAGCTCATGAGAAGGACATCCTGTGGCTGATGGTGCATGTACCGTCACTCAGGATGTCCCTCCAAATGCCCAGGGAGAAAGCAAACATGGACAGCTGAGCGTGCCCCTCAGAGGGAGCCTGAGGCCAGGGAGAGGAAATAAATAGAGTGCTTCGAGGTGCCTTCACCAGGAGACAACTTATTACCTCTGAGAAATAAGTGTGTGTTTTGAAAGCTGAATAACACAGGGTTACATGAATTACACTCGTCTCTCCTTAAATGTGGAAAGCTGAGGAGGGGCTGGGAAGGTGGGATTCATTGAATAAGAAAGGGAAAAGGCAGTTTAATACTGAATATAAGCAGTGAAGTGAGGTTTTCCATTTCTCCTTTTTTAAGTTAATGCTTTTACTGTTGGATTATGAAGTGAAGTTCCCTTCTGCTTATTTCTTCTCTGGTCTGCTTGTCTTGCAGTCCTTTTTCTGCATTGTGTAACCCTTAATTTTACTCTTCATCATGGTGAATGAAGAATACCTTCAGTTTTATAGTGGGTCTAGTTTTGGTTTGGCAACATGGGCTTTAAGACATGCAAGTTTAATTCTGCGAAGGTGAAAATATGTGCCTGTCTAAAGCCTATCTTTGGGTGAACGCTTTAAGGAATAGGTAGCAGTGCATATTCAAGTGCAGCTCAAGACCCTAAATGTATGTAGTCTGAGGCAGAGCCATGACTGTGGTTTCTGACTTCTAGAGAGTAGGAGGAATTCGGGTGCATCTTCTTGCTTGGTGTGTCTTGCACAGCTTCTTGTTCAGCTTGTGGGGTGTCTTAATTGCCTGGAAAACACTCTGTGGTTGTGGTATATGAAGCATCTTACTGCAGCAATCCCAATCACCCTGCAGGAGGCATGCAGCTAGTTTGTAAATGTAAGAGATGGCTAGGATTTTGTATCTCTAGCTCAGTCTGAAGTAAATTCGTGCAATTGGAATGGAGCATGATTTTGGAGTCTGGGAAAAAAGAAAAGCAAATCCAAACCCCAAAAGCAAAGCAAACCTGCCCCCCAAGAAAACAAATTAAAAAAAAACAAAACCAACCAAACAAAAAACCCTGAAGAAACATACACTCAATCATCACATATACTCAATCATCAGTCCTACATGTATGCATGAGTAACCCCAGTGGCCCCACAGAGCTGCCCTCCACGTGCAAAGAGCAGGTCGCCGGGTAACAGCACCCAGTGGAATCAGTCTGAGTGTGGCAGGACTCTGTTCAGCCCCGCACTGAAACTTGACTCCCCCAGTTCCAGTAAAATGCGTAAAAGCAAGAGTAACTAATTAATATCATTAAACAAACTCATCTGGAAGAAAATGCATGAGAGTGCTCTAATTATAGGTCTTTGGAAACTACTTTCGTATGGGTTTATATGTATTTCTGAGTTACCTCAAGGCATGTCTACTGCACAGTGCAAGTGAAATGGAGATAAATGAGCTAAGTTAACTCTAAATGAGATAGTTCTGGTACCAGAAACAATATAGCCACGTTAAGTAGAAATCTGTGCTGATACAACTTGTTTCATTAGGTTAACACAGTGTTATGGATGGGCTAGCAGGATCACATCATTTCTGGTATCCAAATTAACTCATGGCAAGTAGCTTTATGTATATTTAGAACAGCAATAATTAACATAGAATCCTTCTTTTTTTCTTAAGTGAGTACAATGGTAGATCAGACCTTAAAATACAGTAACACCTAATTCATACAAAATTAAATTAACATGAGAAGTTGTGCCTTCAGATAAGGCAAATTTAAAATATAAATTTCTGCACACTGAAAGTGTTGAAATCAGTGACAATTCAACTGAGACTAATAGCAATTAAACCAACCATAATTACAATCTTTGAAAACTGCAGAAAGGGAGAAAGGATAATATGTCCAACAAATTCATACTCATCAGCTTAATGTTGTGCATGAATACTCCATTAGTAAGCCACAGGAAACATAGTTTTAGTAATGTTGTTTTCCCATGGCAGTTTTTGTCATTGTGCTTGAAATGATACAAGTTACAAAATCATCCACTGAACTGGCACCTCTCCTGGCATAAGCATCTGTAGCTCCATCAATTCCCAGTCTTCTGCAAATGAGCAATAAAGGTTTCTATCTAGAAGCTCACTGAAATTATCTAATACTTTTGGAAAAAGCACCATAGCTACTCCAATACTTTATTTTAGTAGCTGATTCTCTGCAGTTAATATTGCTTAATTAACCACAGAATGATGGACTGGAGTCTGGCATGCTGTAGAATTAAATTTTTGTGCAAGGCTCAAACTGTATTTCCAGATGCTGTTAAAGTGCATCAGCCATAGGATATTGCTCCACACCTCAGCTGAGACAAGAAATCACAGCCAGTGCTGAGGTTTTGGTATCAGGTCAGATAACCAAGCTGAGCCTAGCCAGAAAAGGAGGTCTGAGACAACACAGCTGAACTCGTTTGGTAGTGGAAGGGGACATGATCATGCAACCCCTTCTGCTACCTTTTTTTGAAGCAGCAGTAATCTTGCAACAGGGTGTTAAGAAGCAACATGTGAGAGGGAAAGAAACAAGAAAGCTCTTACGTCACGTATGCATCACTCTTTCAGGGGGACCTAATAGCTATGCTATGAAGTCCCATCACCATTACATTTTAATAAATGCTAGAAGATCACAGATTTTCAATAGTAACTTGGTACCTTACAAGGGTAGCATTCGCAACACTCCATCCCAAATCTTATTTTTCTCAAGACAGTGCTAGCAGACTCCTAGCTGGTTTTGATACCTCATCAAAGCAAAGCTGTCCCTGTGAGCTCAGTGGGTAGGGATGATTGCATGTGGAACTTTGACACATTCTCCACTGTGTGAAAACACATCACATATGTTTTCTATTATTTTTAATGGCAGTCTCTCAGCTGTTTCTCATAGTAGTCAAAAATCTGCTCAGCTCCTGTTTAAAGCAGGAGCCTAGTCTGTATTTTTATATTTTATTTTAATTTTGTGGCAATGCTCTTCTCCAACCAGCTTCTATGATGGGAAACAATTCCTGTCCCTTCAGGCACCTTCTACCCTCAAAGTAATACACAGACTAAGCATATTATTCAGAAAAGGAGGACACAGGAAATGGAGATTGGCATGAAAAACTCTTTTTTTTACTCATGGGGACATGATGTTCAGTGCCAGCAGATGGGTTTTTGCCCAGAAACTGTAGGACAGGGTATGATGAATACACTTGCCTTTTGGCCTACCTGCATCAAACCAGTGACTGTATTGGCTAATGTGCTAGTTAGTGGCTAGGGAGCTTGTGTCCACATTCTTTGCTAAGCGTGCAGTTTATTTGATGTAATCCTTCTCTTACTGAAATCTTGATATATAATTTTACTCAAATTTTACTCTTCAGCTGGAAAGGGAACATGACTGTAAAGATATCAGAAAAAAGAATATTCCATCCATACTGGAAATTCCACCTAAATTTTGTCCTGCATTAAGGATCAATGATTTAGTGGTTACATGCTTATAAAAATGGTTAGATTCTTCAACTTTGCTTTTCCAAACAAGAAATGGGAAATATGTTCTTCCCATAGTTTGTGTTTCACAAGTTAAAAGAAAACAAAACAGAACAAAACAAAACACAAAAACCTCCCCTGTCCCTTCTGTCACTTTTCTGTTGTATTTTTATTACTATTTTATCAAGCAGAAGCAGCCACTCAAACCTTTAACTAAAGAACAAGTTAGGACAACTATTTCTTAACTACTAAACTGGCATTTGGCATGTTGGACCCATCTTTCATGTCTTCTGCACTTCAGAGGGAAAGGTACTGTCTGGAGCTAGTGAGTGCTTACAATGAATCTTGTGAGATAACAGCATAAATGCATCAGGGTAGATGGTATATCATAATATACTGGAAAGGATCTGATTATACATAGTTTGCCCTATGTTTAGTGGACCTGAAAAATGTGTATGTTAATTATTTCTTCTGAATTTCTTCAGTTTCTTGACAAAACTTATGGGCCTGGTGTTGGGATAGAACATCCAGATATTGGTAGGACACTGAGCACCACTTGGAGCTCCTGGATCTTGCAGTACATCTAGCTATACGAGTTCATCTCGACAGAGACTAAAGAACTTACAAGGTTGTTTGAAAATATTTTATTCAGAGTTTAAACACATAACAATGCTGGGAAGACCCCCTGAAGCATTTCACAAAGAACTTTATTATATGCAGAACAGTACTGTAATTGAAAAAAATAAAAGCAGGAGAGTATAGTAACAAGAAAGGTAACAAATTCTATACTTAAGCATATTTAACAATACTAAAATATTTAATTCCTCTAAAATAGCCAATTAGCGTTGCAGTATTGGGTTTTGTACAAAATATGATGCTGATATTGTTTTCTTGGAAGTGGAGGTATTCAAGGCCAGGTTGGACAGAGCCTTGGGTGACATGGTTTAGTATGAGGTGTCCCTGCCCATGGCAGGGGGGTTGGAACTAGATGATCTTAAGGTCCTTTCCAACCCTAACTATTCTATGATTCTATTCTATGATTCTATGATATATTTTAGTTATACTAAAGAGCAGCTTTTCAGTATGTGAGATCAATATTTGTGTTCAGGATGAAAATGATCCAAGGATCCTTTTAGTCGTAGTTCACGTCATAGCCATTGTTCCTTAATCCTACCCAGAAGACTTGTCTTTTTCCTCCTAGATCAAAACTTATGCTGGTGGAAGAAGCTGGTGTAATGGAAGAGTTAGCACTTCAATCTAGAAAAGAAGATATTTCAGTTAGAGATGCACTAAGTATATGAAAACAATGATTTTGAAGTGACCCTGACAGCATGTGACAGCATATATGTAATTCAGTATAATTTCAAACAAATTATAGTGGTTCTGTCACTTTTAAAATACATATAGTTAAAAACAATTCTACAGAAATTTGCAAAATGTCATGTTCAAGATAATGAAAACAAATGCCAGAACACTGATGCTCCTTTGACAGTCTTACCAGCAGTAGTGTGGTTTTGCACATTGTGTATTCAACTGTAAGACTTCTTGGCCGCCTTCCACTTTACCTAGAAACAGATGTAAGATCTCTTAACATTTTTTTTTCTTTTAAATTACTATGGTATATTGACAAAAAATTCACTGGGAGCAGAAGTCACCCTAACAAGCCCTTTTAGAAATGCATTCATTGTGTCATGAAATCCTGCATTTGCTAATTATCTTTCCTTAACTCTATTGCAGACCTTCAAATTAACAGCTATTGAAAACTATAGGCAAACAGTAGGTGCCTGACTTAATTAACTCTGACCCTGTGTTATGTGATTTCTATCTTGGTGTTGCTTGTGCTAAAAATGGGCACTGGTTTTCCTATGGCATATGACTGTAATTCTTCAAAGGGCTGTGATATAGCAACTTTATAGAATACTTTATTGTTATTTGATGATTTAGTTATCATTATGGCCTGCAGATCAGAAGACCTGCAAGCACCAGGGCACAGCTAATGGAGTAATGCCAAACTAATTGCATTATTGTTTTGATTAAGACCTCCTATATATAACAAATAAAAAATATTAATAGGAATACCAGAACAGATTTGCTGTATGGTCTAAACAGAAACAGACTCCATGATCACATGGGTGGGATCTTCTGAAGGGCAGAATACTACTGCACTCAAGGAAGGGATTTCTTATTTTCCCCTGAAAGATTAAATTCTAATCCTAAGCACTGTTCTCTCTCTGCACCACTGTGTCCATGCACAGTTACTTTCAGCTACCCAGGAGAGGAAATTCAGCTGCTGGTATGGTTAAACTTCCTTGCTGTCCTACTACTGGTACAGTATCTACTTCATGAAAATTCTGGGGACACCGTGACAGCAATTAGCACCAACAAAAACCTGCCAGCTTTCCAGGAGCCCTTCCGGACAGACAGATTTCATCCTCACTGTGGGGAGGAATATGTAAAATAATAACATTGTTCTGTTTTGAAAGCACAAAGTCATGAAGGAGATCGTTCACAAAAAACCCGTCTGGATCCAGGTGGCACACTATCTGTCACGTCTGCATCCTGCTTAACAGGAGGCATTCCAGTGTACCCACACATCCTTCAATTTATTACAAATTTTTTAAAATTTGGGATTTTATTTTTTTTTTTGCATAATATACAGTTGTGAATGTCCCATCTTTTTGAGCATGGTGAAAAGACTTCTACATTTTCAGGCATAAAATGCACAAACATGTACACAAAAATAATAATTTTCTTCAACATTTTGTTACAGAATGTGTGGTAAAGTCCATATCAGAAACAGTCATAGATAATAACTATCAAGCAATTAACCAATAGTCATATCAATACTTAGAGTCACACCATGTTTTAATGCCTGATGAATGTTACTATTTTTGTTTTTAATGGACTGTCTTCTCAGATGTTAAATTTTAAGGGAGTCAGTATACTTACCTTATGGTTGGCAACTGAGTTGAGTCCTTACGGTCTTTGCAAAGTACCAAATGTTCCTATTTCCTATGAAAAGGGTTTCCAAATAAGCCTTTGGCAGTATTTCTGAAAAAAGTGGGACTGCTGCAGAAATAAACTGGCTTTGTGTCTCAAATCTCCATGGGGCTTATGAGGCAAAATGACTTCAGCAGAGAAAGTAGGTTAAAGCAAGGACAGACAGCCTCCTCAATGAGCAGAGCTGGAAATAAGCACAGATACTCACCCCATTCCGTACACTTAAGATTTTGTAGTTCTAAAAAACAGCACAAGTAAAAAAAAAAAAAAAAATTACTAATGTTTATAAAAACATGTCCATTAACTCTTACTTGGATGAGGTGTCCTGTAAAACTACCATGACTCAGCTGTAAACTGGGTTTGCTTTATAGACGTAATTTAAAAAATCTCATTTGATATAATCTTAAAATTTGAAGGTAGTCTGGTGTTTGACATGAATGTTTTGACATGAATGAAAACTTGATTTGATTTGATTTTCTTTTTGGTGTGTGTTTCTGCCAATATGCATTAGCAGGCATTGGATAGTTAGGGTTTTTGTTCTGCTTTTCAAAGCCCTGAATCATAGGTAATTTGCTTGTATAAGGATAAATAGGAGAACGAGTGTCTTGTTAATCAATTAAGACATTAATTGATTAATGTTTTAATCAAAAAACAATTCTAATTGGGTTTTTTAGAATTTCTTCTTTCAGGGATGGACTCTCTAGGAATTAAAATATATTCTTATTTTTTCTCTACCTAATCAAATAGCTGTTGTTTTCCTCCATACCAATTGCCAGCAGCAATATGGATTTTGTCCCCTACCTTCTAGCTATAGCTATTACTTCTGGAAATACTTTTGTAACATCTCTAATATATTATTCCACTGCTTTTCAGCTCCAGTTATGAATTACCTTGAACAGAGTTACTAATTTTTGACACTGAGTAGTTTTCATGGCTCCAAAATGTACTGATAATGCTTCTATCACTGTGTATCACTGGGGGAAATTAAATTCTAAGAACAGAAGCATCTTATTTTTCTGAGCTTTTCTCTCTTTTTGTAATGAAACAGTGCCCCCAAGAGCCTTTATTTAGGAAGGGGCAGTTTAAGAAAATTAAGTCAGTTAATGATTCACCAGTATAGTAATCCCTAAATATAAAAAGTCTGCCAGGCATTGCAACCACAGATGTTGGTTTGAAGGACAGTGAAAAGACAGTTTGGTTTGGTTTTCATATTTTATGCCCAATAATGGAAAGTTAACTAAATGACTAAATTCTTCTGATATGTTTGGAGACCTCTGCCTGCAGAGGACATCTTTGCTGGTATTCTGAAGAAAGGGAGGGTGCGCTGTCTGCTAAGGCTGCAGAGCACTGCTTCTTAGTGAGTTTATTTATTGGTGGGCTGGTTTTGCCCTTTGCCGATTGACATCAGGACAGCTGGCAGCAGTCCAGGAGGCAGCAGAAAGCACTGTTGGTTTGTTTGTTTGTTTGTGTGGATAAACAGAGAAGAAAGATGGCGTGAAGTGCAGAAGAAAAAAGAGAAAACCAGGAAGAGCTTTAGCTACAACGGAGTTATAAAATGCAAATAATGAGCCTATTATGCATTTTTCCTAAACTACATGAAATACACATAAAAATAATCATGAATCAATCTCACAGAGGCAGATATTTAAAGTGTTGAGAGTCATCAGTACTTTTTCTGAGTAATATGCAACATTTTGTTGACAGCATCGTGGCTGTTGAAAAACTGAGGAACCATCATCACAGCATCTAGTAGATTCATCATCCTCAATGAAGGAATTTTTTGAAGAAAAATTCAGAAAGGAAAAAAATGCCAGTTTATCTGTCAATTAGCCTTTACATTCAGAAATAGCATGAGGGAGAGGGGAAGGGTAAGAGAGAAAAAGCTTGAAAACAGGAAAGGATGCCACTTGGAAAAAAAAAATCCATTAATCATTACATTCAGTGCAGAATTGAATTTAATGTACTATTAGCACCACAGAGCACAAGAAGAGTCGTAAGTAAAATGGAAAGAAAAGGGGGGGTTTAGGGAAAATTAATCACTGGCTTCAGCCTGCAAACTAGCACTGTAATTGTATTTAATTATAATCCAAAACTGTATGCAGATTACTCACCGTATACAAACAGGACAATTAGGGCTGTGGATCTTCCCAGGAAAGATGATACCCATTCCAATCTGACTGCTTGATACTATATTGATGTAGTTATCTACAGAAAAGTAGTAATTTTTATGGTTAAGTAAAAGGGTGTACATCAGAGCAATGCTGCAAGTTTTGCATGGGCACTAAACATTTACCTCTGATTAGCTCATTGTTGGGAGTGGCAAAAGGAAAGGAGAAGGGAAAAGATAAGGGAAAGGAGAGGAAAGGGACTGGGGGTTGTGGCTGATGGGCTGAGGTTGGGTTTGTGAGAACAGGCAGGAGAAGCGGGCATGGCCCCTAATTTCTCCATAATGGTTGGTTTTCTCATGGGGTAACAGATCTTACCAGAAAGGAAAGCAAGAAAAGGATTACTATCAATGAACTCCACAGCAATGAGAACTATTTCAAAATAATTTACAATGAAAGGTAACAGCATCTGCCTCACACAGCAGTTACCCTGTGCAGCAGTGACAAATTAAAATCCATGAAATGGAAAGGAAGAACTCCCTGTCCTGGCAGGCTTCTCATCAGTATCATATACCACAGTCACTGACAGATGAGCTTTGCAGCATACTGTGATGTTTAGCAATACAGGCTATTTCACACCAAAACTGAGGAGCTTGGGTTGTGTAAGTGCAAGGCTATCAAAGTCACTCACACATTCAGGCACTTAACTGATTTTCCACTGCCCAGCTGAGACACCTTCTGGCTTCAGCAGGATCCTTTACCACTTGCTGAGCTGGTGACTCCCTTGCTTTGCTCACTCCTTTTTACTCGTTGCTGATTCAAGGCAGCTGCCTCATCCAAAAAAAAATGTTTTCCCCTCCAATATATCTTACACCACCCTGATGCCCTAATATTGTCTAACCCTGAAAAACATTTATCACAAACAGAATTTTGGGTTATTCTATGTCTTTCTCACCATCCCATTACGTAGGTTGGCCATAAGTAGGAATTTATAAGTGAAATTTTAAAAAGCACTTGTGAAAATAATTGCTTTAAATAATTTTCAATAACCTGTCACAGGAACAGCTCAAGATTTCATCTACCACAGAAGCAGAAAATATAAATAGTAGACATGGTCTCCCAAAATAGCCTGCTAATAGTAAATAGCTCTCT